CTGATTAATAGCAATTAGGCCGGAAAAGGAACAGAGAGAAAGCCGCCAAAGTGAACAAATCAAAGGGACCGGTGTGTTTGAGCCGGCTCGCTGGCGGAGGTGGGAGGGGAACAGAGACTGATCAAGCTGTTACAGAGGCGCTTGTGCCACTGTCAGGCAGGGCAGGGCCGGGGGAGTGCTAATACTCCCGTCCCGTTTGACTTTTTATTTTTTATTTTTTATTTTTTATTTTTTCGAGACAGGGTTTCTCTGTGGTTTTGGAGCCTGTCCTGGAACTAGCTCTTGTAGACCAGGCTGGTCTCGAACTCACAGAGGTCCGCCTGCCTCTGCCTCCCGAGTGCTGGGATTAAAGGCGTGCGCCACCACCGCCCTTAGCAGGCACCAGGAAAGATCGAGTCGCTCAGAATCTCAGCTGTGTCCCCAGCCCGTAGTCGGACCGGCTGAAAGGGTAGTCTGCGCGCCCAGGGGGACCACCGCTGTGAGCGGTGGCCCCAAGAGACTCCGATTTGGGGCGGGTCTCTGCAAAGCCCCACGGGGCGGGCGCCAAATGTATCGACGTGAATAAACGCAGGCAAATATTAAAGAATATATACAAATTTAATGATTAAATAAAACTTACAGAACCGAGGTTCCCGCGTAGCACAGGAGGTAGGAAAGAAAAGGGGCAAGCGGCCTCCTGCGCCGATTTATTCGTATGCATCCGCCCGAGGCAAACCCACCCCCTAAATGGGCTGGCTTAACCCTACACTCCAAGTATTTCAAGTCAGAAGAGATTTAAGACAGGGACATTCGTGGTGAAGTCCTGGTTTCTTCCTAGCTGTGTAGCAGTGGCCAGGTTGCTGAGCCTCCCCCGTAATACAGTTTCTACCTCTAGAGAAATAGCGATAGTCCTAACTTACAGGCTGTTCTGAAACTTATGTACAATACACCATGGAAAACATTTCAGTGTCTGGCATATAGTTAGTCCCCGACAGCCACAAGCTATTGTTATGGTTACCATTCTAACCCTCTAAACCACTCCAGCAACCTGCGGACAGTGTCTCAATGTTGCCAAGTCCAGAACCGAGGAGCCAAGAAGGGGAGGGGCTGCTTCAACAGCGCGACGTCATCTCGGACTGAAGAGCAGACTAGATGAGGTTGAGGGGGTGTGCGGGTCCCACAGGACAAAGTGCTTCTAAGGCTCCCTGTTCTTCTCGCCACTCGTCCTGACCTCTTCACCTGCGCTGAGCAGATCTCGCCCCTCTGGGCACGCTTTGAAATTTTAATTAAAACATAATACATGCACATTTTTTAAAGTCAGATTACAAATGGCACAGTTAACAAGAAAATAAGCCTGGTTCCTCAGCTCTCTCACCTCAGAACAGCCATTGGGAAGCGGTTCCTCTGGAGTCTTTTCAGACATGCTCTCGACAGGTATGGTGAACTCAATGTATTTTCACATTTTAGTGCAAAGAGGGCGACTGTTTTGCTTTTTCTAAATCATCTCTCTCTGAGGACAAGATACGGGTGTAAATGAAGCTACCGTCTTTTTTTTTTTTTCATATGGTTCTTTAAAATATCTGCTTTGTTTGTTCTCTTGAGATGGCATCTCATGTAAGCCAGGCTGGTGCTGACTTCTCAGTTGTCTTGCCTCCGGACTGCTAAGATTCCAGACCTGCACTACTACCCCAGTTAGCCGTTTGGACATCCGTGCGACGGTAGCTATTTAATCAGCTCCTTCTGATGACATTTAAGTGGCTCCCAGTCTTGCTGCTACAAATACGCTTGTAAAAAATTCTCTACGATACACCAGCTTTTTTTTTTTTTTCGATGCAAAAAACATCTGGTGTCTTCGAGCTGAAACCCCCAAAGATCACCTTCATGGTCTTGTATTGAAACAGGGCAGAGAAAGGAAGGTCTGCATTCCAGGCCAGGCTCACACCCCCCGCCGCTCTGCATGCCCAGCTTCCCTGCGTATTAGGCCATGGTAACTGCACCTGCCTTGCACTGCCTCACAGGGGGGGCATCCTGAGACTCAAATGTGTGTGAAATCTCAAGAGCGCTGTCCTCACAGATCGAAGTCTTTGCCAAACCTGTAATTGATGCATGTTTTGTGATGTGCCCTCCATTTCCAGTGTACTGCTTGCCCCGCCCCTTGAAAGAGCAGCTGTCCACCTGCAGCTCCTGCTGCTTGGCAACCTAAGGCTGCCGTACGCTTTGCATCCTTCCATTTCTTCACACCAGATGGAACTGGGCCGGGCACCTTCTGTGAGGCTGTCCAGCGACTACAGTGCAAGGCCCTGCGTCTGTAACCATATCCAGGTTACTCTGAGTCTTGCACTACAGAGCAAGGCCCTGCATCTGTAACCGTATCCAGGTTACTCTGTGTCTCACCCTTGGAACCATTTACTAGGCAAATCACAAGTGACTTAGGACGACCAAGAAGGCAGAGAGAGTGGCCATGTGGTCAGGACCCTGACGGACCACTTGCAGTTGATGTCATTAATAAGATGAATCAGAAAGGAGCAGAAACCTGCACATCTTAGCTGTGAAACAGTTTTAAAATGGGACAAGACTGGGGTAAGAAGACCACACAGGAGCAGAGACCTGCTCCCGAATCAGCCAAATTGTAGAGACAGTGAAACACAAGCAAGGGTCTCAGGACTGCCTTGAACCCATAACTATCCCTACGAGGCCAGGTCATCCCAAGCCTTGCTCCTGGGCCTGTGTGATGCCATGAAGGCAGGAACGGGGCATCAGATCCTCTGAAGCTGGAGTTACAGGCAATTGTGTGCAGCCCAACATGAGTGCAGGGCATGAAACTCGGGTCCTCTGCAAAAGCAGAAGGCACCCTTAACTACTGAGCCACCTCTCCATCTCCAAAACGGTAACTTTTAATCTCTTATTTCACTCCATAAAAAAGCACTTATCATCATCACCAACACCACCATCATTATCACCATCATCATTACAATAATCATGGTGGCAGTCATATGCTTAGTCCCTTGTGGAATGCGCCACCCCATTTTCCTATTAGTGTTGTGCTATACAGGCAGCTCTGTCACTTTTCCCCGTTCATAAATGAGGGCACTGAACCCCAGATACATTACTACCAACTGCCACCCTGCCGGCCATGTAAACAAAGCTAGAGTTGGAATGTAGCCCTTTCTCCTGTAATGTGACCCTGACTCTGCCTACTGAAAGTGTTTTGTTAAAGTTTTAATAGAACCAAAGACGACAAAGTATATTTCCCAGCCTTCCAGAATCTTCACCTCCTCCTCCACTACCCATGGTATTCATTGGAATGTATAGCTCAAGTTGCATTCATTTTCTAGTGATTCTACAGCAGGGTCCCATGGGTGGGGTGGCTCAGTCGACTAATATTTACACTCTTAGTGTTCCAAAAGCTAGACATTGGGATCAAAGCATCGGCAGGCTCAGTTTTTCCAAAATCACTGGGACAGAAGGCTCTGATCCAAGCCGATAACTGTTAATTTTACATGTCAACTTGCCCCAGGTGCCTAGTATTGTGTTAGGTGTTATTTACTGGCGTATCTTTAGGGGCATTTATAGAAGACACAAGCCTTTAAGGAAATGGAGTAAGAAAAGCAGACTGCCACCCCCAATGGGAGTGGGCCTCATCCAATGCAACGAGTCTTCAATGAAATGAAATGGAAGGTGGAAGGTGGCTGGTTGTATTATGGCATCCTAAGTCTTCTGCCCTTGCACTAGGGCACCAGGTCTTTGGACTCAGCCTAGCAGTAACAGCTGGCAGTGCCAGCCTGGTGTAGGAGGATCTTCTGTCTATGTGTTGCTTTCACTGGTCAAATAAAGAAACTGCCTTGGCTTTTTGATAGGGCAGAATTTAGATAGGTGGAGCAGACCGAACAGAATGCTGGGAGAAAGACAGCAGAGTCAGACAGACGCCATGCTTCTCCTGCCCAAGGCGGACGTTGGTTAGACTCATGCCGGTAAACCATAGTCAAGTGACGATACAGATTATTAGAAATGGGTTAAATCAAGATGTGAGAGTTAGCCAATAAGAGGCTAGGACTAATGGGCCAGGCAGCAAATAAATTAATACAATTTCTGCGTAATTACTTCGGATGTAAACTAGCCAGGTGGCTGGGCACCAGGAACACAGCCTGCCGCTCCTTTTACAACACCAGCCTTTGTGGGTCTTCAGTTTCCAGACAGGAGACTAAGGACTTTTTCAATCTCTATGATTATGTGAGCTAATTCTCATGTTTCTTTTTCCATGTTTCTCTGGGGAACCCAACACAAGGCTCCCCTCTTGTGCTGTGCCTGCACCACTTTCCCTCCATACTTGTTGGTGCGTTTATCTTCTAAAGACATTAGTCACACTGGATTAGCATCCAGTGCAGTGACATCATTGCTAGGAAGATCCCATCTCCAAATAAAGTCACATTCTGAGGTCCTGAGGAGCATTCAGCATAGAACTCGGGGAGGAGAAAACCGATCCATCCCAATATAATCCGCATTTAAAGGGCAAACCGAAGGGATTGGAATTCATACAATAGGCTTCTAGCACCAACAACTGACATTCCAGTTTTCAGCAGCCCTGGGGTAAGAAAGGCCCAATCTTCACTGAGCTTTGTCTTTTAATTTTTTATTACGTTTATTTCTTTGGGGGTTATATGGTATACACATATTCCATAGGAAACATAGAGAGTCAGTTCTCTCTCTCTCTCTCTCTCTCTCTCTCTCTCTCTCTCTCTCTCTTTTCAACCATGTGGATCTCAGGGATCAAATTCAGGTTACTGGATCTTGCTAGCAGGCAACTCTACTGGCTGAACTACCTTGCTGCCCCCAACCTGCCATTCTTACCAATGGCTCCTCAATGGTGTGACAGCCTCTAACCAAAAGTGCCCTAGCAACTGGTAGAATGTGGCTATTATGAGGATAAGGGATTATGATGGTCACCAGAACTTGGTGAAGCCAAATGTTGCTGTCTCAAAATATGTCCTCTGGCCCTAGTTGGCAGCACTGTGGTTATCTGGATGGCAACAGAGGACAGAGAGATGATGGGAGCACGTGGGGCAGGAGAAAGTTGCCCCACCCTCTCCAAGGTGGCACCTGGTGACAACATGCCCGAAGGGAAGTCAAAGGCCTCTTTGGTAAGAGGATGCCTCTCTTGATTGCCCTAGACATTCCATGGGGCCGGGGCGGGGCGGGGCACTCTAAGCTTTACAGTCTAAGGCATTACTATGAGATTCAGATGCCAAGAAGAGCAGGACTGGGTCTCATCCCCATAGTAGGTATCCAGTTGCCTCCAGGAATCAGCAACCCGTCGTGGGATTGTAATGTTCCATGAAACTATCTTATCTCTCTATTTGAGACCCTTCCTCCTCTCTGTGTGCAGAGACATATACATGTATTGACTGGTTCTCTCAACACAGACCCTAGGATTCTTCCACTCTGGAGTCCCTGAAAGGCCCATTGCCTAACAGTTAGGTAAAATGTGGGAAATATGAAAGTGACCTCCCTGGTGACAAGAACTGCTACCTAAGCAGATGCCCACCTCACCTATCAATGCCTTCAGTTCCAACTTTAGGGACCACGCCTTCGTGGCAGTTTGCTTTCTGTTCTTGAGTCTCTAAGTGCACACTCTTTGTCTTTAGGGTTTTTGTTTTGCTTTGTTTTCCAAGACAGGATTTCTTTGTGTAACAGCCCTGGCTGTCCTGGAACTCACTCTGAAGACCAGGCTGGCCTTGAACTCAGAGAGATCTGCCTGCCTCTGCCTCCCAAGAGCTGGGTGGGATTAAAGGTGTGCACCACCATTCCCTAGCCTAAATACTCTTTGTAACACGCCCCAGGCTAACTGAGGCTTAGAGCTGAGGATGTGGTTTTAGGGAGCCCCACACTGACTCCATCATCATCCCACCCCTTCTTCCCCATCCTAGGATGCAGAACCCCTAAAGTTAGAACTGCCCATCCTGGAAGAGAATGAAACCTGTGAAGACAGAGATTGCCCAGGGACCCCTAAGTCACTGTCCCCAAAGTCTGGCCATACCACCAAGGGTCAGGCTGGTGACGGACCTGGACAGGAACCCATGGAGCTGCCCCCACCCCTGGAGACAGAACACCACAATGCAATGGAACTGGAGAAGGTGCGCATGGAGTTTGAGCTGACACGCCTGAAGTATCTGCACCAGGAGAATGAGCGGCAGAGGCACCACGAGGAGGTGATGGAGCAGCTGCAGCAGCAGCAGCAGCAGGCTTTGCCTCACCAGGTAGCGGAGTAGTGCTAAGGGCCAAGGGCCATCCCCGTGGACCCTGGCAAGACAGACCTCGCTGTATCTGTTTGGCTATGTGCCTTGCCTGCCAGCCCCAGGTCTGGCTGAGAGGTGGTGAGCATCCTCGTAGCTGCCTCCAGCCCCTGGTGCCTTGAGTCAGTTTGCAGGGTGGTCTGAGATCACGTCCCGTGTGGTTAACTCTGTTAGGGCTTCCACGTTAAAGGAGATTCAAGTCTCCAAAGAGAGTTGAGAGCAGGAGATACCCTGAAACCGCATCCTCTACCCAGCACCGCTTTTAACAGTCTGTGTCCGATACTCACACCTCGACTGGTCTTCCACCACTTGTCTTTCTCTCAAGATGCAGTAGTAGACCCAGCAGCCCTCGTTCATCTGACCACGGGATGCCAACAGAACCATCACCTCCCTTTCAGGTCTGAGCTTTCTCTGTTGAACACTCTGCCTGATAACCACTAATGCAATGTTGTTTTCATGAGAAATGTGTATTCAACTCCTACTCAGCCCATTCTAGCCCTAAATGGGGACAAGAGTGATCATCTGAGCCATGGGGATCTAGCTCAGCCGGTAGAGCGCTTGGCCTGCATGCCTGAAGCCCTGAGTTCAGTCTCCAGCACCCAATAAACCACATGTGGGGCCTCCAGGATCCCAGCACTCCAGAAGTGAGGCAGAATGATCAGTTCAAGGTGACATAACAAGTTTGAGGCTAGCCTGGGCTATGCGAATCCTTGTTTCAAAGGACAAGATGAGATGAAGTGTCGTGTGAGGTACTTATCACTGTGACCAGACCATTCTAAGCACTTCATGGTGAAGGAAGTCACCACTTCCAAGTGGTGCTTCCTGCTCTCTAAAGTCATGGGTTCTGGGTAAAAACCACTTAACCTTGAACACATTACTAATCCCCCTTGAACTTGCTCAACACTAAAGTCAAACCTATCTCATGGGGTCATTGTGAAGCGTAAGTGAGCGAGCGTACACAAGCCGCTTTGCAATGAGCAAGCGCATTAGGAAAGCGCTCAATAATGGTTGGCTGCTAGCATTTTTATGAACTCATACAGTTCCCTTCTTGACCCGCACGCAGCAGCAGCTCTGCTCAAGGCTTCTCGGTTTTACTGGGATGTGATTTATTAGCTAAGCTTCCCAGCTCTGAGTCACCCTCGGTTCTGAGAAGCTTGTCCTCATCTAAGTGATTGCTATCACTGTTGAGAAGGAGCTGACCCAAAGGGAATCCCACTGCAAGATCCCACCACAGGTTATGGGGGGGGGGGGGCATCAATCAACACTGTGCCGGTACATTCTCCCCAGCTCGCATTTCCGCAGCTTGCCCAAGAAAGCTGCCCTGAGTCCCGTGTCGAATGGCTTCCCAGAATAAGGTGTTACATTGGCCCAACGACTGGCCAATTCTTTAAAGAGAAAATGGGTTTCTATGACATGACTTGTTCTCAGTGAACACATGCTGGCTTCCTAATTATTTTTTTCTTGCTCACAAGATACCTGCTTAAGTGTACATTGAATGATATTACTGAGCCAAGTCAAGCTTATTGAATGGGACATCAGAAATACATTTTTCTCTCCTATCTAGAAAACATTTGCCTTTCTCTGGAATTCACACACACTCGATGATATTTTCCATTTCTTGTACATTCTTAGATTTTTCTCAATGTCCAAGGATGAAATAGTTGCAGATTTGAACCAGAAACTATTTAAATCAGGCATGCTATTTGTGAGAGTTTCTTATCTGGTTGCTGTGACAGACGCCCTGACAAACACAGCTGAAGGAAGGGTCAGTTTGAGCTCACGGCTCCAGGAAGGAGCCCTAGGAGGCTGGTCCCGCTGCTTAGGTCAGGCCTGGGGCTCAGATAACCTTTTCACTCTGTCCAGGACTCCAACCCATGGGAGCCTACTCACAGTTGGGTGGGAAGTCCCATCTCAGTAAGCCTAACCTAGAAGACCTCACAGGCATGTCTAAAGGTGCTGCACTAGGCACTTCCAGGTCCTGTCTAGGTGACAGGGAAAATTAGCGATCAACAGTGGTAGGCCCATCCCTCCTACTTATTTTTCTCTTTTTAATTGGAAGAATGCCTCTCCTTGCTGGGTGACATGAAAATCCTTATCATAAAGTCCTCTGGTTCATTTATTATTTTTTAAGATTTATGTAATTATTAATTTAGAAAAGGGCATCAGATCTCATTACAATTACCTTGTGGAATTGAACTCAGAACCTCTGCAAGAGCAACCAGGCTCTTAACCTCTGAGCTATCTCTCCAACCCAAAAGTCCTCTACTTCTTAAAAGATAGGCTATGGGCAGTGTCTTGAAAAGCTTAACAGGTATGATATATGTATATACGTCCATGTATATGTATATATGTGTGTTCTTATATATATAATATAAGCAAGACGGTTCACTATCAGTAAATTATATATAAACATTTTATATATAAACTCATATATATGAAAATTGTATAAACACACACATATAGACATATAATATGAACAAGACAGAGTTCACTGTATCAGCATATTACATATGTACATGCATATATATGAGCATTACATATAAACACACACACACATATATGCACACACATACACCCACACATCATAACTTCCCTCCGTCCTCATTTCAGGCTAAACACATGCAGGCTGCAGAGTGTGGCAGAGGTCATGACACACAGCCCCAGCCTACAGAGCACTACCCTGCCTAGAGAACACTGAATTTCTTCCTCTGGTCTCCTGCCTTCCTTGCTGTTCACCTTAGAGACAGCAGAGTTGGAATCATTTCCCATGCCTTTAGTTTTATGTCTTGATATCATTGCTTTCTCACTTCTGCAGCTGTCTCCAGCCATGATGTATCTAAGGCCTGGGCCCTTGGGAATAGTTTTAAAGTGTTTTCCTTATGGTTCATTTACAAAAACTTAGGGTGGGCTTGATTATGGAGGCTTCCATAGCTTTCTTTTTCTAAGTGGTTGAAAGGAAATGGAAGACAAAGATGAACGGATGGATAAATAAATTCAATAATACTGAATGTATCTAAACTAATATTTCTCGCTAGTTTAGGGCATCTCGGCCTTTGCCATTTAGCTGTTAAAATATGGCATCTTAAAAAGTATTGTGGAGCAGAAACCATGGCAAATTCTTGAACTCAGACCAGAATATTTATATTGGCTTCTGCCTCATACACCCATGACAAAATAGGGTCTGACTCTAGTTACTGACTTCAGAAAAGAGCGACTCACAGTCAGACCCATCCGGAAACCCAACTTCTGCAGGTTCAGGGAGCCTGGAACTCTGGCCACCTGCCCCAGGAGAGAGCAAATCCCACGGTGGAGGACCACATACTAACCATGTGACATGTACCAAGACACAGGGAGTCTGAGACGCTCATTTGAGCTCAAGGATGTACCTTCAGAGTGCCACCGTCCCAAAAACTAGGCCATTAGGGGACAATATCCAAAGAATGTTGCTAAGAACCAGAGTCCAGATCTGGGAAACTTGGAGCCCTAGAGAACTTGTTCACATAGTAACCCAGCTGGGCAAGACGGGGTAGAGGAAGGACAGCATTGGCCTGCTGCCCAGGGTCAGGAAAAATAAGGTTAACTCAAGAAACAAAATGAATGAGATCTGTCTACGTGACAGTGACCTCACTAGGATTTATTTTATCATTTCTCATTCTTCCTCATGATTTTGGGAAGGGGGGTTATGACTCAGCGACCTCCTTGAGGTCACCGTCAGGATCAGGACAGGTCTGAAGCTGTTTTCGGCAATGATGTATCTAAGGCCTGGGCCCTTGGGAATCGTTTTTTAAAAGTGTTTTACTTATGGTTTATTTACAAAATCTTGGTGGGGGGGGGCTTGAATATGGGGCCTTCTATAGTTTTCTTTCTCTAAGTGGTTGAAAGGAAAGGGGAGACAAAGATGAACGGATGGATAAATAAATTCAATAATACTGAATGTACCTAAACTAATATTTCTCACTAGCTCAGGGACATCTTGGCCTAAACATAGCTGGTGTGGCCAGCTATGCCGTCTTCTTTCCTCACAGTTCTCGGGAGGCCTCCAGGACCTCCTGCTCCCCCAGAACCAGTTCGCCATGTTCCTCTGCTGCTTCATCTTCATCCACATCATCTACGTTGCCAAGGAGATGGTCTTCTTTCTCTTCTCCAAGCACTACCTGTTCTGCCTCGCAGCCATCTTGCTGTGTTTGATTAAAACCCTGTGGTCCTACTTCCAAGTGCCTTTGCGTCGTCCACCACTGGCAGGACTCCTCCCCGCCCACTGTAACCTGTCTGATGGCACAGCTGCCAGCTGCTGCCGCCTGTGGGTGAAGACACCTGGCCAGGCCACTGCCCTCAGCCTGTTTCTCACTGTGACCAAGGGAGAAGTTCAGAAGTTAAAAGGTTGAGGTTCAGGGGTGGATCTTCAAGGACGGCCTTGAAAACCTTTCTAGAATCGTCGTCACATGAGTGGCCATACTGGCTTGGATACCACCGCATCCACACATGCTCATACAGTATTGGTTTTTTCTTCCCTTTAAATCGTAAAGTTAAAGTGGGCCCCTCCCCCAACACAGATGTCCTTGTCCCAACCCCCAGAATCTTGAGAATGCTACTTTGGCTCACAAAAGAGACGGTTTCTAAGGTTGTTAGTTCAGATCCTGTGTCCTGGCAGCCTTCACAAACTGAAGCTCCACCACCTGTCCTCTACGGGCCAAGTAGACAGTAATAAAATGCAGAAAAATGGAGATTTATTCAATGTGACCACATTAGAAAGAGGGACGAATGGAGAGGTCCACCTTGGGGGTTCTAACACAAAGTTTAGACTCAAGTAGAGAGCCAGAGATGTGCATCAGTAAGCAGCCTGGGTGTGGCCCTGCCCGTTGCTGTCTTGGCCAGTCTCCCCTGGAAGGTCTGGAGAAGCGCAGAACTACATGAAGTCTCCTTCCAGGAAGCAAGCTCTCCTGTGGCGGCTCCAGCCTTCAGCTTTCTTCTCCCAGTATGAGACGTCTGGGGAAATTTCAATTTCTTAACGTCTATTGTTTTGGTAATCTGATGGCCAAAATGGGGAGCACACATGCCTCTTGGTCTATCTTAGAATGTCTTTATTCCTGCCCACATAGTTACAATTCTGAGACGCGTCCAAGACTCTTGACATGGGAACTGAGCCTGCATTTTCCAGGTGGGCCCAATATCGTAACAGGTGTGGGGAGCCATCCTCAAGGTCAGAGTGATGCAAGGCCACAAGTCAAGGAATGGGGGGAAAGGCTGGAGAAATGGTGCGGTGGTTAGGAGCACTGGCTGCTCTTCCAGAGGACCCAGGTTCAATTCCAGCACCCATGTGGCAGTTCACAACTGTCTGCAACTCAGTTCCTGGGGATCCAACAACCCCACACAGAGATTCACACAGGCAAAACACCAATGCACATAAAAATTTTTTTTAAAAAAACTGGGCAGTTTCTAGAGGGTGGAAACATTCAGTATATGAATTCTCTCCAGGGTCTCCAGAGAAAGGAATAGCCCTGTCAATGCAATTTAAACTTCTGAACTCCAGAACTGTAAAGGGAGAAAGCCCTTTTATTTTAAGCCACCAAGCCCACAGTTATTTGTTGCAGTTGCTACAGGCACCTCATAGGAGCCAAGACTCCGGGGCCCTCCCGGCTATGCAAACATATCATCATGGCAGCACATGCTGTCAAGGGCCATTCTGCGTTTGGCCTGAGCCTTCAGACAACTGATTAAAAGGAAGACACATTGGCATGCCGCTGCCACCCTGCTGTTAGGAAAAAAAATAATAAGGGGCAACTCTGCAGGCACAAAGAAGTCCAATTAGGTCAAATCAAACCAAATTAAGATGCCCACAGTTTTATTAAATACGGGTGGCCAAGCGCATGGCGGAGAGACAGGAAAGGGGGGAGCACATGCAAACCCGGAACCACATGTTTCTCCTCTGGGAGCCCACTTAAATACCCTGTGGGAGTGGTCCTGACCCCTCCTGGGATTTTGAGTCCAGACCAATATACTCCCAGGCCAGGGGGCTGGGATGGATGCCAGGGACTGGGGCTATGCTCCAGACTTAACACCTGCCACAGACCCACCAGGGAGCTTGGGACAGGTTTCTAAGAACTGTGGGAAAGGGTACTCTAAAGCAGCCAGAGTCTCCCTTGGTAAGATAGGCAGGAAAATACAGCCACACACACCCCAGACCCAGAAAAGAGGAGAACCTGGAGGAAAGTCATCGTAGCTATTTTATGGGAAAATGCGAAGAACTAAAAATACCACATACATAACACACACATGCACAGGCGCGCATGCACACACAGAGGTGCACAGACTCTCAAAAAGTAGATACAAACATGCTGACTTACAGAGATCAAGGTAAATAATTTCCTGCAGCAGGGCTGTTCATCAGTCTCCAAAGTAAACAGAAGAGGGCTCAGTGGAGCCCAGAAGCAAAATTGCAAGCTCTATACAACAAAGAAGAGAAGCTTAACCCCCCCCCACCCCCCCCCACACACAGCAACTAATTCCCCCTTGCTCGCCCCAGCAGGGACTGTCACCTGCTCAGCTCCCAGCAGCCCAAGCAGCAGGATGGCCAGCTCTGGCACTGGGAGCCACATGAGGAGATAAACTGGCAAAGAGAGCGAGCCTGGTTGCAGCTTGCAGCACTCAGAGAATCTCTACCCACTCTCTCTTCCCTGTCACAGGGCTGTGCCTTAAGAGGGGTGGAAATAAGTTCCAGCTGGCAGGGTTCTGAGTGACACTCAATGAATCGGAGAAGACCCTCTTGGGACCACACTGTCAGGATGTATTAGCATGCCATTTTCCGCCCTGTTCAATGCCTCCATCCCCACTTACGCCTGTGTGGGATGGGCACTTATAACTTGCAAATGGTAAAACTGGCATTTCTCATTAAACTTGCAGTGATGGAGATGCTTGCTGTGGGTCAATTCTCAAGATCACTTATTTGATCCAGGTTTCTGGCATGAATCTGAGGCAAGGAGATTAGGATAGCAAAGAATTGCAGGCCTGCCTATTCACCTGTCACAGACAGAGGTGGGCACTGGGTAAAAACTAGGTGGCTTGAGGCCATCCTGTCACTCCTGTTGCCTAGCAACACTGGACCTAAATGCTTTTGTTTTTCCTAAGAGAAAGAAAAACTCTCTTAAGCCACTAAATTATTATGGCACACTCTGGGTTCCAGATACAAACTCTCTTTTGTCCTCTGCCCCAGATCTAGTGTTTGAAGTCTGGTGCCAGGAGTCTGGGACCTGAGCTGAGGAAGATGCAACTCTGTATGTTTACCCTCCAACTTAGGACAAGTCCCCTTGTTGAAATGCAAAGTAGAAAATCAGGAGACACACAGACACAAAGGACAGGAAAGAGACACAGCTAAATGGTCACCAACCTAGCAACAAGTCAATGTGTTAGCAGCTTCTGCGTGCCTCCAATGCCAAGTAACCAGCTCAATGCTTAAGGAGGCCAGCTTGCCAAAACCTCAGGGAGGCAGAGACATAGCAGAACCAGCTTGTAGAGAATTCCAGGGTTCAGAGAGCCTTACTCTGGAGAACAGACTCTTCCCAAGTTTCTGCCTGGTGAGGTGGATTTAACACAAGAGCACTTAAGAGAGCTCACAGCATAGAGAGCTTAGGCATGAAGGCTTCTTGTAAAAGAAGAGCAGCCTCTGTCCCCCAGGAGGGGTTCCTAAACCTGGAAAGGTAAGTGGGGAGGGGGAGGGAGGACTCACACAAGATCAGCATGGAGGTGTATCTATGCAGAAGGCATGGAATGTCCTTGCGGGGGGTGACGGCTGGACAGCTGCTCCAGCCTAACGTTACTTAGAGTCTCGGATGTTGGTCTCAGAGTATGGACTTAATCCTCTGGGAAACTGAGTCCTGAAGCTCACAGAGAAGAATAGTGGCACAAAAACAATGCCTCCCTGCCACAAAACACATCTGGAACCTTGACCCTCCCTTCCTATGCTAGTCAGGAACCGTGCCCACCCTGACCTCCATTGCCCACCCTGACCTCCCTTCCCAAGGTTAGTCAGGAACCATGCTGTTAAGAGGGCTGGAGTCTGAGTACTAAATTCAAATATAAAACAAAAAAACAAAAGCCAAACAAAACCCAGAGACTACTACTTTTACAAACCTTGCAGCTCCAGGTGGTCAGCCAGGGGCTGGTGAAGGTGCAATGGAAATTGCAGAGGGCGCTGTCCTGGTGGCTCCACTATCCTTATGACAACAGCTTTTATTATTATTTCTTATTTATTCTGAGACAGAGTTTCTCTGTATAACTATGGAGCCAATCCTGGAACTCACTATGTAGACCAGGCTGGCCTCGAACTCACAGAGATCCATCTGCCTCTGCTTCCCAAATGCTGGGATTAAAGGCGTGCGCCACCACTGCCCCGCCCAGTTTTTCATTCTTATCCTATGGCTTCAGCCTTATTCTCTTACAGTGCTACCACAGCTCTAGGTACCAAGTCCATTGGCCAAGAGCAGGTGGCAAGGAAGGCCTGCCCTTTAAAGGTGTTCCTAACTAGAAGTGATGGAGCAGCAGAGGCAAAGGCAGGCGGATCTCTGTGAGTTCGAGGCCAGCCTGGTCTACAGAGAACTAGTCTCAACAATAACAAAACCACAAAAGCCTTTCCAAGAAGTCCCAAGCACAGGTTTCTGATTATATCTCATTGGTCAAACACAGGCTACTTCTAGCTACAGGGCATGTTAGTGAATGAGGTTTTATATGGGGAGCCCATCAGAGATGACCACTCAGTTTACAGCCAATCCAAAGTCTTTATTCCAGTCCTCTGGGACTATACCCAGGTATTCAGGATTCCAAGTGTAGCCGTGAACATTTAGCCAAGGGTCTTTTAAAGGCAAAAACCACACCCTGGCATCTCACACAGGAGTTGCAAAGGGGAAATTTGCACAAGCAGGTGATTTATCAGAAGCTAAGATAAACTGTTAGCTAGAAGGGGAGGTTAAGGTAGCTGGGGGCATCTTGACCTTGGGTTCCTAGACTAGAGCTGGATGATTTTCCCAGGTGATTCTCCGTCAAAGAGCTCAAATTCTAGTTAAAACAGAAATGGCCTCATCAAGAAAACAAGATAGAAGAACCTCTTGTTCTGTCTTCCCTAGCACAGTTTTTATCAGAATACTTTTGCATCTTTAAACAAAATTAGAATTCCAAAAGGACAAGTTGAATAAGAAACTAGCTGCCCACCATTCCTGCTCTGGAGGCCGGAGTGACTGAGGCAGAGGCCTAGGTTGGTTGAGTCAGGCATGGGGAGCCCGGCAGCAGCCAATCTGTGCTTGGCCCCATGCTGTGTCTAAGGATGAGCACAAGTGGCCACAACTACACACCACAGTGGGAAGGACTTGGTTTCACCTAGATGCAGGTGTGCCTA